TCGGTTGACTTGCATTGGAGACTCAGAGGGGAGTTGACCACAACAATGTGGTTCGAGGTGGATTTGACACTCTCCAGAAATGTATAGGAGTACGTAATCAGAATGACCCTTGGTTGTTTTTATAATACTGTTACGCCCAGTCAATAACTATTTAAACTCATTTGCTCTAGGTTGGATCATTCACACATGTAGTCCATTCATCACAAAATGTCCTTGATGTGCCCAGACCTACTTTCGTTGAACTATTGTGTCTTCGTCTTGAGGATGTATGATTAAAGTTCCTCATTCACAGAGGTCTTTGATTCACGCTGATGACAATGTGATAGCGTGTGGAAATGAATAGTTCAGGCCAAGAATAAAACTGATCTGTTGATTAGATATTTAGGTGGACGCATTCCAAATGAGGCTGTAGGGGGATAAAAAAAATGACAGGACTTTGCAAGGGTGGCCAGTACATTTCGTGATTCACCTATTGGAAAAAAAAAGCAATGATTTTGACTCTGAGGGAGAGGTTGAGAGTGAGAGTACATCAAGTTGCTTTATATTATGCCTATTATGATTTCAGAGCATGAAAGTGTTTATTATATTACAGGGAAGGTTATCAAGCTCCGAGATCTTACTTGTATGCATTACAACAATGAGGTCATTATGCAAATGGATTGCCACAATGTAGTGTAATATTTTAAAACAAGCTATGAGTTGACAAATACCCAGTCATACTTTTCTCTAAGGCAGCCCATTAATGAGATTAAAGTCACCAGAAAATCAAATGGACAATTCTTGTTTCATATATTACAGTATATACAGTTAAAGTCAGAATTATTAGGCTTTCTAAATTATTAGCCCCGTTATATATATCTTTTTTGCCAATTTCAGTTTAACGGATTTTTTTCAACACATTTCTAAACATAATAGTTTTAATAATTTATTTCTAATAAATGAGTAATTTTATCTTTGCTATGATGACAGTACATTATAAATAATAGAAAATTTTCAACATACTAGTCTTCAGCTTAAAGTGACATTTAAAGGCTTAACTAGATTAATTACAGGTTAACTAGGCAAGTCAGTGTATAACAGTGGTATACAAAATATATTTAAAACATTTAAATCTGATTATATTCTAGCCAAAATAAAACAAATCAGACTTACACAAGAAGAAAACATATTATAGAAATGTTGTGAAAAAATCCTTGCTCTGTTGGGAAACATCATGCGGTAAATATTTGAAAAAAAAAATTAAATCACAGAAGGACTAATAATTTTGACTTCAACTGTATATTAGATTTTTTTTTTCATTTTCTCATTCATATAAAACACCCCATTAATCTTTAATCATGAGCATGTCTTCTTGAATGATGTTTATTGGTGCAATGGTGGGACAAACTTGTCACTTATATGAGAGTTGCTGTAGCAGATGACAATGATCCAACAATCCAATCAGTTCAACCCAGGCTCATTATGATTATGTACCGCTATATCCATTTCTGGAGAAAACAAAATAAGTTCAAGGAGCGACGTTTTTTTTGCAGTTTTTGCGAATCCACCAGAGGCCACTGTGTATGCTTTTCAGGTCTCAAATTTATCCTGTGAGTGCCATTTGCGCCTGCTGTTCTCACATAAATCCACCAGAGGCCACTGTTGACTGACTTACTGACTGACCAACCGACCGATCCCCCACCCTCCCCATTCCCTAAACCAAACCAATAGTGTTTTAAAAAGCACCAGCTGACCAGCCCATCCACTTCCCTAAACCCAACCACAGTGTTTTAAAAAGCAATCTACAAAAAGAAAAGCCCTCGCCTGGTTTTTGATGCGTTTTCAGATTTCACCACATTTTTACCCTTGTTATTTACTTGTTTATTTTATTTTTTAGCTTTTGTATTTTTCTTACCTGTATTCTGGAACCATTGGGTATGCTACCATTGGGTAGGCTAAATTGTCCGTAGTGTATGAGTGTGTGTGTGGGTGAATGTGTGTGTGGATGTTTCCCAGAGATGGGTTGCGGCTGGAAGGGCATCCGCTGCGTAAAAACTTGCTTGATAAGTTGGCGGTTCAATCCGCTGTGGCAACCCCGGATTAATAAAGGGACTAAGCCGACAAGAAAATGAATGAATGAAAGTAAAATGGAGGATTATCTTGAAAAAAAAAAAATCAACATGTTGAGTGGACTGAAAAACACAGTCAACCTGACCGATTCGGTTTCATAAGTCAAATTTACGATAGCTCAAACTCAGTTACTCTGGCAACTTGTGCTGGGAAACTAGCCTGGTCCGGGGCAGGTTAATTCTTAGGCGAAGTCAGTATAAAAAATATATATGTATATATGTATGTATGTATATAATTTTATATATATATATATATATATATATATATATATATATATATATATATATATATATATATATATATATATATATATATATATATATATTGCTTTGACACAATCAACATAATGAAAACACAATTATAATATTTTGAAAGTTTTGTCTAATAGCAAAAGTAACAACACAAGTAATATTTTGAAGAGAGAAAGTTAGTTAATGTATAAAACATCTCAGTGGAACTAGTTACTAAATGACAATTAGTTGAAACTACTAATTTTTTACAGTGTGGAAAACTTCTTTTGTTAAATAAAATGTAAAAGACATTTCAGACTGAGATTGTCTGATTTATTTAATACCACAGTGTGGAAAAAAAAACAATTTAAACAATCTAAAAATTTTTACTAATCAAAAATTTAACCTTGCAAACTTGGCACACACAGTCATTATTTTCATTCCTCAAAAGAGCCAACTGTAAATTAAGGCCTCGTAAACAACTACGATGTGCCATGACTTTCTTCAATTAAACAAAGGCAAAACAGAATTTAGTGCATTCGGCAAAAAAACATGAAAAACCCAAGGTGAATGCATTCAAGTTTTTGTGTCATTTTTATCCTTTTATTTTGTTTAGATATTTTAAAGGAACAGCTCAGCTTTATGTGCTTGACTCTGTGAAATAAGTGATTTTCTATGGTCATTCATGGTATTCCATTTCATTATTCATTTATAAGAAACAGTAATGGGTGGCACGGTGACTCAGTGGTTAGCACTGTCACTTCACAGCAAGAAGGTTGCTGGATCGAGTCCTGACTCCTGGCATTTCTGTGTGGAGTTTGCATGTTCTCCCTGTGTTCGTTTGGGTTTCCTTCAGGTGCTCTGTTTTTCCGCACCGTTCAAAGACACGCTATAAGTAAATTAAGTAAACAAAATTTGCCGTTGTGTATGTGTGTAAGGGGCAGCAAGGCGGTGCATTAAGTAATACAATCAGCTTACAGCAAGAAGGTCGCTGTTTCAAGCCTTGACTGGGTCAGTTGGCATTTCTGTGTGGAGTTTGCATGTTTTCTCCATGTTTGTGTGGATTCTCCTGGGTGGAATTAGCCGAAAAGAAAATGAATGAATGAATGAATGAATGAATGAATGAATGAATGTGTGCATTTCCCAGTACTGGGTTGCAGTGGGAAGGTAAAACTTGTGCTGCATAAAACATATGCTTGAATAGTTGGCGGTTAGTGAGCTAATATAATATTAAATCAAAATCAATAAATTCATATTTAATTATGTTGTTTGGGTATCACACTTGTTTTAAACAAACCCAGCTGTTGCCAGATTAAAAATAAAAAAGTATATATACACTTACCGGCAACTTTATAAGGTACAACAGTCCAACTGCTCGTTAAAGCAAATTTTTAATCAGCCAATAGCATGAGAGCAACTCAATGCATTCAGGCAAGTAGACATGGTAAAGATGCACTGCTGCAGTTCAAATCGAGCATCAAAATGGGGAAGAAAGGTGATTTCAAGTGACTTTGAACGTGCCATGATTGTTGGTGCCAGACAAGCTAGTCTGAGTATTTCAGAAACTGCTGATCTACTGGGATTTTCATGCACAACCATCTCTAGGGTTAAAGAGAATGGTCCAAAAAAGAGAAAATATCCAGTGAGCGGCAGCTCTGTGGGTGCAAATGCCTTGTTAATGCCAGAGGTCAGAGGAAAATGGGCAGACTGGTCCAGCTGATAGAAAGGCAACAGTAACTCAAATAGCCACTCGTTACAACCGATGTATGCAGAAGAGCATCTCTGAATGCCCAACACGTCCAACCTTGAGGCGGATGGGCTACAGCAGCAGAAGACCACACCTTTGGGATGTGGTGGAATGGAAGATTCGTATCATGGATGTGCAGCTAACAAATCTGCAGCACCTGTGTGATGTTATCATGTCAATATGGGCCAATATCTCTGAGGAATATTTCTAGTATCTTGTTGTATCTAAGGCAGTTCTGAAGGCAATAGGAGTCCAAAAAAAAAAAAAAAAAAGTGGCCGGTGAGTGTATCCACATATCATCCAATTTCTTGTCTCCATATTTTTTTTTATCCCATAATTGTCTGTCTGGTTTTAACTTGTCACTTCCTAGCACAAGCTTCGCATTCAGATTTTAACCGAAAATATTTTGCATTCTGTTACTTTAATTATGTGGGACATAGCGTGTATTAAGTTGAACAATGTAGATTGGTTATTGCAGAAACCAGATATAAATATTCGGACTTTATACAGTAAAATTTATATATATATATATATATATATATATATATATATATATATATATATATATATATATATATATATATATATATATATATATAGGCTATATATATATGTAAATATATTTTTAATTACTTATTATACCTTAAAGCATACGCAGTAGGCTAAATTCAAAAATCCATTCAAATATTTTTTGGCTAAAACGTTTCAAATTAACTGTTTAAAACATGTTACGTGTTTTGCCTCATCATTTACTACGATTCTTATTTTTTCTACTCCTTACGCGTTTGTTAAACATTTTTTGAATTACTATTGCTCTTTTGCCTCCCCATTGTAATTAACAGCAAGTATGCTGTTATGTCACTGGCTGAGATTTAACAGCCTGTTGTTTTCAGTATTCGCTGTGTTTCTCATCATCACATTGGGTGACTGCTCTAGGCTGCTTCAGGTCTCACCGCGATCCAGCATCTCGGCGGCTGCGCTCACATCCTCAATCGGCATGAGAGGGAGGACGCAGCGGCTGCGTACAACCGACTGCGCCGCGACAACTACAACACGAACCAGCTTTCTGCCAATGTAGGAAACAGCGCCGGGATCCTTATTGTTTGTTTCTATTACCACGGGACTGTCAACGTGGCTGGAAAAGACGTCAGACAATCTAGTGAGCTGCCTACCTAGACAGCTTTTTTTTTGGCGTCATACCGCGTTCGTGCGCGCTCCGGGCAGCATTCATTTACCGTCGCTGTCCACACACACATGTACAGTATGTGTGAACGTGCGGAGAAGTTGAAGATGACACTCTGAATCGTCTAGGCACGGTAAGAACGCTCATTTATTACGGAGGAATTCAAATACAGTCAGCAACTTGGTCTTTGTTAAGAATCATGTAGGGGAATCGCACCTGTGCATGTGCAATCTTCCCATCAAAACAATCTAGCGTCGTTTTGCGCTGGTCTGTGTTGTGTTTTAAGCCTTAAAGTTGTCAACTGTCTTTTTCTGTGGACGCTGTTGACATCTGGGGTATTTAAAGAGAAATAATAGGTGAGTCAACCGGCATAAAGTAAGGACAGATATAACCTACATGTGTCATGCTGCCCTTAAGGCATTGAAAGCTTGGTATGCTCTAATGGGTGAGATCTATTTAGAGAATCTGAACTTTATGGAAAGCTGTGGGGCTCTGTATCTGGTTTATTTCAATCATTATTATGTACGTGGTTTAAGTGTAGAAAGTCAATGTAGTGTGAGAGAACTGCTTCAATGGATGTTTTAGAATATTTCAGACACACATCTGACTGTGAATGATGTGGCCGTGGCTTAGCAGGGGCTTAACTTTTTATATGAGTTTGTTCGCACTGAATCAATCAGAATTTAAAATGATTGTAGGCTAATATGTTGTTGCAGAATATCTAAGCAGTTTTAGACTTCCTGTGGTGTTGGGGTCATAAATAACACCAAAAGTGATAAGTGACCATATATTTTAAACGAAATGAAAACATTGTATTTCAATATGTTCTGTTAGCTTGTTATTGTTGGTGGCTGAGGGTTTTTTTCATCATGAAGAAGATGACAATTTAATTAAATTATTTTTTAGCAAAATATATGTGGCTTAACAGGGGCTTGACTTTCAAATGGGTTAGTTTGCACTGAATAGACCAGAAATTAAAATGTTTGTAATTTGTTGTACAGTAGCAGAATATCTAAGCAGTTTTAGACTTCCTGTGGTATTAAGAGTCAGAAATAACACCAAAAGTAATAAGTGACCATATATTTGAGTGTGATGAAAATATTTTATGTATTTCAAGATGTTGTGTTATCTTTTTATAGTTGATGACTGAGTGATTATAAAGAAGATAACAATTTAATGAAAGATTTTTTTTGTGAAATGTATGTGGCTTAACAGGGGCTTGACTTTCATGTTGGGTTAGTTTGGACTAGATCAGACTTTAAAACGTCTGTAATTTGTGCAGCTGAATATTTAAGCAGTTTTAGAAGTCCTGTTGTGAATTGTGAAAATTATAACTTGGACTGGGGAAGAATAACACCAACAGTACAGTTGCTTAGTATATTTGAAATATGGGAAAATCAATAAATGTGAAATATAAATAATTTATTGATTTCATTTTGTATGATAAACATGATGTTCTATGCTGTTTTTGCCACAAAATTGCCACAAAAGTGAAAAATGTAAACCATATGAAATGGTATGTTAAGAAAAACACTGCAAGGTCATTTAAAATGTGATTTTTAATGCAACCAGTGGCACTTTCTGTTAGTTGTACATATCATAAAACCTGATGTTGAATCAAAATAAAGGTATTACTCTATATGTAAGTTACATAATGACCACCTTTAAAAAAGAGTGTTAATCACTTTTAAGCAATAATTTAGACTTAATGATCGTTTCATATGTGGTTAATGCCCTGTCATAACCTGAGAACAGCATTTGTATCAACTTTATGCTTTATGGAGCAGCAGTTCCACCCCTAGTGGGGTAAATCATTCATTGCAACAGATACAATCACACTGTGAAGGCTTTCTATATTTGATCAAATTCAAGAGAACTTGTATAAGGTGTCAGGAGCTCTTTTTTTTAAGTGCAGTCTTTTTGAATGTCCTATACTTACAAGATGTAAGCTCAGCAAATGACCGGCTGCATTCTGACCTTTATTTTATCTTATCATAAAGCTGTTTATTAAGATATTAGGATTAGTCAGAGAGCAGCAGCAATGTGATAAATGGATATCATTAAAGGAACAGATGGGGCTTGTGAGACATGCCACTTCTTCTGCCGTCTCTCTCTTCTGTCCTCAGTACTTTTGACCTGTGGGCAGTGTTACCCATTCAGACATAAAGCAGCATGCCATGCACTTTAGATTGGGATCCAGTGCCCATGTTTAATGCATCTCTATGCTCTGAGACTGTTGAATGTGGAGAAGTGGCTCAGAGAGAACATTTCTAATGAGAATAGTGTTTTAGATGCAGTAAAGCCCCTTTGTGAGAGGAAAAGTCTCTGAGAGACTGAGATTAAATAAAAGAAGGCTTTACAGAGGGAATGAATCCCTCCGTATATTTTACTGAGCTCTGTATAGCTCACTTTTGTCCAAAAGGACTATCAAATGTACAAAGCCTTCATTAATACTGCATAGTGATGTTCTATACCAGGATAATTATAGTTTACTAAAACTGTCAAACTAAAACTATGAAACTAATACATTTTTTCTTAAAATAAATTTATGCAGAAGGATTCTGTGTCCAAATAAATACTAGCTTTACTTGATGTACAGTTCTAAAACAACTAAAACCAAATTATAATATTAAAACATTAAATTTAAAATGTAAAAAAATAATTCAAACTATTTAAAATATCTGAAATAAAGTTTATAAAATTAAGTCAGAAGAAAAATGAATTTACCTCAGGGTATCCATGGGGTCTTAAAATCTTAAAATGTCACGAATCTCAAAAACAAAATTTAGGCCTTAAAGTTTTAAATTTACTGTAATATTGTGTTTTAGGTCTTTTAGGTCCTAAGTCCTTTGAGGTTTAAGCCTAAACAGGCCTTAATGTTTAATGTTTCTTTGTTCAAGTATAGCTACCCAATCTGGCCAACACCCATCCAATCACCAGAAGGTTTCATTATTTTCCTTACAAGAACACTTTTTTAAAAGTTCTTTGTGTATTTACTGCCGTGGAAGCTGAACAGGCTGTTATGCATATATTTAGTTTATTATAGTTTTTAAAACCTTAAAAACCTTTTTATTTTAAGAAAGTTTATGTTGAATAAAGTGTATGGATACAACTAGAGCTTGCTTGTTTTGACACAACATTTAAAATAGAATTAACTAAACTATTATTTTTTAATTATTAAATTATTATTATTGTATAATTACATTTATTAAATTATAAAAAAATAAATAAATTGATAGGAAAAATACAAATCTTTTCCACTAAGCCATCGAAAAATCGTTATCCCTTTACGAGTTTAAAATTTCATTCATAATGCTTTTGAAAAAAAAGTAAGTTTTAAGTAGTTTTAAATTCAACTTGCTGAAAACTGCAGAAACCCTGTTAACGTGATGTACTAAAACAGCTGAAAGGTAAAATAATACCTGTATCAAATGTACTAAAATGAGTTTAAAATAAAAAAACAAATTACCAAATTAAACATGAGAAATTAGTAACATTTTACAAAAGGTTGTATAATTTAATGTAAGTTATTGCATTTACTAACACGAACAAGTCATGAAAATACATTTGTTTGCTGTTAGTTCATGTTAACTCACGGTACATTAACTAATGTTAACAAGCATTCATTTTTATTTAAATAATGTATTAGCAGATGTTGCACTATGATCAATAAATGCTGTACAAATATTGCTAATTCTTAATTCATGTTAGTAAATAAATTATCATTAATGCAACCTTAATATAAGGTCTGACAAAAAACTAAAATTAAACTCGTGTAATATACAAATTGTACATTTTTTTCACACTGACAGCATTTTAAAATCAGCTCACAGAGTATGACATTATTAGCAAATGATTTTGTAAGTGCACCTAAGTTTATTTTAGACAGAACTGTTAAAAGTGTCTAGAACTTGTAAGTTATCCATGGAGCTGTAACAGTCAAAGCCTTCTGAGGAAAATAGATCATGTATATTTCATATGCACGTCTGTGTTAAACTCTGCGCCTGTGCTGTGCTTTTGGACTGAAACCTTTAATCATGGTGAATCAGTACACTTAGCTATAAGGATGCTCTTCTATACTGATGCTTATTTTTGGCTAAAAGTTGTTTTTGCAAAGTTCAGAAAATGTATATGATTACCTTAAGGGGGACATGTTTTGCTATTTTCTCAAAAGATGTCAAATGTCTCCAGAATATGTATGTGAAGTTTCAGCTTAATATATAAGTTTGAGTGTGATCAAAAACATAAATATTTTTCTGTCTATTTAAATGCAAACAAGCTGCTGCTTGCCAGAAGAAAGAACCTTTTCCAGCTATTCTGAAAGTCCAGAAACAACAAAACAAGTGAATCACATGCAGTCAAAATGTCAGAAAAGGCCAGTAGCATAATAAATTCTTTATATTGTCCTCTATATTATTCTTTTTATTGTCCTCTTGGTACTGCTGCATGTTGCTACTCCAGATAGACAGTTTTTTTATGTCACTGCTGTGGCCACAAATGTAAAGATGTGATATTCGTTAGGAAAACAAAGTATTCATTTAATAAACAACGGGCCCTATCATACACCCGGCGCAATGTGGCGCAAGGCGTGACGCAAATGTTATTTGCTAGTTTAAGCACGGTGCAAGAGTCGTTTTGACATTTTGCGCCAAGCTGTTTAAATAGCAAATGCATTTGCGCCCATAGGCGTTGTAGTCTAAAACAGCAGGCGTGTTTTGGCGCATTGCTGGCGTGTTGCTATTTTGAGAAACTGTAATAGTCTTTTCTTTAGACCAGAACAAAGCCGGTCTATTGTCCGGCGCAGAGTGCGCCTCGCTTACATGCTGCTTAATACACCAAAGATGTAGAGCAATACGCAAATATCTTTACGTATGAAAAAGAATAAAAAAATTAAGTATATGGCTGATTCCAGCGTTATGGATGTGACATTTGCAGTAAAAATTCAAAACATAAATTCGCAGAGAAAGTATACGTTAACATTATATTGAATCATCTGTTTATATTTTCCAAAACAACTAACCATAGAGTTATGGGATCAAAAAAATTTAATCTGTGAACATTTTTATACTTTAAATGAGGAAAATAAACAAGCGTTATGGATGTGACAAAAAAAGTCTGCAAGTTTACAGTATA